AACTCCTCCACCATAAAACCAAGAAGTTGTAACCCTCCAAGAGTGAATGAACTGGATTTTGAACTACTTTGAAGTCTTGTTCATTTAATGCATCTTGAGTTCAACTTAGACTTCCATTAATGCAACTTGAGTTTGTAGTAAATGAAGTTGGATTTGTTCTCGACTTTATTCAATGCAACTTGAGGTTGCCATAAATGACACTAGAGTGCATTTAGTGCGAAAGAATGATATTCAGAAAGAATGGAAAAGATTTGAGAATAGAACCGTTTCGGATTCTTCGAGACGGGGATTCTCCGAGATGGGGGTTTAGGGTTTTACTTGGGATGGGAGTCCCACGAAATGTCCGAGACGAAGGACGGGAGGGAGGGAATGGATTTTTTTAAAACAGGGGTACAATGGTAATTTCACTATGTCATATTTTGAGAGGGGTCATAATTAATAGAATATGGAGACACAAATTAGAGTTTTTCAAAATGGAGTCATTTATCCAGTTTCAGTTATTGAAGAGGTCACAAATTCAAATTACCCAACTTAAAAGTGTCATATTTGCATAAAGAAATACAGATTTTGAAACTGGAAGTTCTACAACTTTCCTAAGTAGTAATAATGTAATTCTATCCGTTTTTTGATAATTGTGCTTTCGAATTTGGTTTATTTTGGTCTATGTATTTTTAATATCCATTTTAATTTTTATATTTTTTATAAGTAATCATTTTAGTCCTTATTTGGAATATTTTAACACAAATTTTATACACAATAGAAACTCTTTATTACAAATCTATAGCTACAATTCAAAAAGTTTAGTGTCATACTAAAATTATGATAAAAAGAAAAAGAATAGATCAAAATAGTCACTTTTTAAAAGTATTGGACCAAAACAAACGTTTTGAAAGTATATGAATTAAAATAAACAAAAGTTAGAAAGTACAGAAATCAAAATAAATATTTTGAAATTACAAGAGCCGAACCAAAGCCAAAAATATGATGAGTAAAATAGTATTTAAACCCTATTTAATATTGCAGAAATAGTTATAAAAATCTTCTAATATTACTTATTTAACAGGGATTATTTTTTCCTTGAATACTCAGTTTAGGCAATATCAATGAGAACATAGAAGCCATTCTTTTGCTGCTTTACCAATAATCCATACATGAGCAATGCCCGTCTCTAAAATGATGGAATCGATACCGATCTCGCAATAATATATCTCTACCGTAAACTCTAGATACGAGCTTGGCAACTTCGTGGCAGTCTCCGCAAACCCGAAGATTTTTCACAACTCGAATTGGTTGAGATGGCGCCAAACTGATGAGTCCAAAAGCAATTGCTAACTTCTCGCTGTGAAGGCTTAAGGCCTGTTCCTTGAGGTCGTCTTCTTCGACGAGCTGGAGAAGATGGGACTTGTTTGGTTCATATCCAACTGATTTTAGTTTTGCTGCAATCTCGTCCAGTTTCGAGTAGATTTTGCTGGATAACGGGTGGGAGTTATCGCCAACTAGGAACTCATGGACACTGCCATTGACTTCAACTGAACTACAACCTGGTTCCTTTTTCAAGTCAGAGTCTCTCATCAGATTCCTCAACTCAGAAACCTTATCCCATCTTTCTGTTTTGGCATAAATGTTAGATAGAAGTACAATAGCGCCATGATTTCTAGGCTCCAACTTGAGCAAACGGTCACAAGCCAGTTCTGCAAGCTCGACATTCATATGGAGCCTACAGGCACCAAGCAGAGCACCCCAAACCGAGGCGCTTGGTGTTACAGGCATTTCGTTGATCAACTCCATAGCTTCTCCAAGAAGCCCAGCACGGCCGAGAATATCAACCATGCAAGCATAGTGCTTTGTTCCAGGCACAACCCCGTAAACTGGCTCCATTTCATGAAAAAACACCCGCCCCGCATCGACTAATCCAGCATGGCTGCAGGCACATAGTATATTCGTAAACGTCACACTGTTCGGGCTCACCTTAGCTTCCTGCATTTTGAAAAACAAATCAATTGCTGCCTTCCCACGCCCGTGCATTCCCAAGCCAGCAATCATGGCGCTCCAAACATACACATCTCTCTCCTCCACTGAATGAAACACCTCAAGAGCTTTCTCTAAATCACCACACTTAGCATACATGTCTACGAGAGAAGTAATCAGATGGCAGTTCAGATCTATCCCTTCCCTTTTCATATACACATGAATCCACCCACCCAAATCAATTGCCCCCAACTGAGCACAAGCTGACAGAGTACTAACCAGAGTGACTTCATCAGGTTTTGCAATTTTTCTGAGCTGCAACTCATTGAAAGTGGCAAGAGCCTCCTTGGGCTTACCATTTTGTTCATAAGCAGATATGAGGACGTTCCAAGCAGCAATTTCCTTCACAGGCATTGTGTCAAACACTTGCCGAGCAGCATCGAAATCGCCCATTTTTGCATACCCATCAAGCATGGTGGTCCATGAGAAGACATCTCTTTCAGGCATTTCATCAAACAGCTTTTGCGCATCATCGATGCTTCCACATTTTGTATACATGTCAAGCGTGGCGTTAATCAGAGTTAAATCCACTCTAATTTCTTTCCTTTCAATGTACTCACAAACCCACCTCCCAAACTCCAAATCCAACTTCTTCGCACAAGCGGACAAAACACCCACCATTGTGACAGAGTTGGGTTTCACGTTCTCCCCCTCCATTTTCAGAAACAAGTCCAATGCATCCTCTGGACAGTTCCCCTGAGTAAAAGCCGAGATCATCGAATTCCAAGACACCACATCTTTACTAGCAATACTCGCAAACAGTCGCTCAGCCATGTTCAAATCCCCACATACCCCATAGAATCGCACAAGCGAGTTAAGAATATACACATCCATACCCAACGACATTTTAATCGCCATTCCATGAACAGCTTTTCCGACCCTCGAAGCCTTGAGCTCCGAAGCGGCCTTAATCACAAAAGGGAAAGTGAAATTGTTGGGCAAATCATCACACCTATCAAGCAACTCAAGAAACAATACGAAACTCTGAAAGGGGTCGGAGCTGGAAGCATAAGCTCGAATAAGAGTGTTCCAAGTGTAGAGATTTGGTTGGGGAATTTGGTCGAACAGGTCGTGGGCATACTGGAGAGTGGAGAAGGATGAGAGAGCGGAGGCCGCGAAGAGCTTGCTGGCGGAGAAGGGGTCGAAGAAGAGGCCGGTGCGGAGCATATGGGCGTGAACTTGCTTCAACTCCTTGGCACTTGAGCATCGATCGATTACAGAGAGAATTTGATGGTTTTGGAAAGGAAGATTATTGCTTGTGACTGGGAAATTCGGAAGAGAAATCGCTGGAGCGCCAAAACCTGCCATAGCGCACATAACATTGACGCCTAGTTTCGGTTCCCCGCCACTATAATTGGTTACTCTCTTCCGGTGAGATGTGGTTCAGGACCACCGAGCAGAAGCTGGTGGACATTTGACGCCCGACAGAGAGGAGGATACACGGATGAACTGGTACTAGAGGGATTGGATAAGAAAAGATTCAAAGTATTGATAGTCATTATTATTTTCTTGACAAGCATGTGAGTAAAGATGGAACATGTTGAAATGAATCGTGTTAATATGTAAGTATAGTTTTTACTTTCTAAGTAGTTCAGATAAAAAATCGGACCGTTCATTTTGGTATGCTCTCAAAACTTCCTTAGTCTAACTCTTGTTAATTTGAATTGTTACACTCATTTTAGTTTCTATAATTTCAAAGAACGGCTCATTTAATCTTTGATTGCAATAGAAACTCTTTTAATATAATATTTCAATAAATTTAATGACTAAATTGTTATGAAATGACTATAATAGTCCCTTCTTAGAAGTATAAACACTAAAACGGACGTTTTAAAAGAACTAAAAACTCTCAGTCAAAGGTCCAAAACGAAAATAGTATTTCAATATACATAAATGTGGGGAGATTGCAACTTCAACTTAACCAAAAGTAACTTTTGTTTTATCTATTTGATTATATCCAGATTATCACGGAAATCTGAAAGTATACTCGAATTGCATTTACAGTGTTATTTTAACAAACCTTGAAAGTTTGAATTTTCTAATGTGATTTGGGCTTAGCTTTAGTTTTAGTTTCAATTTGCTCTTACGGTTCTAACTTCTAACAAAACTAAGTTATAGTTTTAATCATTTTCAGTTTGGTCCAAAAATTAAATTAAACCTAAAAAATTGTCAATCATATGTTTTTTCATACGGAGTTTCAAATTTCGAGCGACAAGTTGACATGTCGTTTGATATGTCGACGTATTGAGCACCTTGACGTCGACACGGGAGGAGATTGTCGTTTTTCCTCCAATGTCGACGAAATGTCGAGGAAATGTCGTTTTTTTTTTGTTTTTACTTATAATCTATAAATTGATTTTTTTTAAATAATTTGATTATATACTCCCTAGGAGTGTTGATTCATATTTCGGTTAAATAATTTGAAAATATATATATAGTTTGTTTCGGTGAGATAACGTAGGAATTGATTTTTTCCCACCAAAAATACCACTTTTTTTTGTTTTCAACAATTTTTACTGTTCATTAGCGTTACAAAAACCCCACATTCTAGTAGCGTTTTTTTCCATCTTTTTATCTCTTATAAAAAGGCAAACCTCCTAGCAAATAAGTAAATAATTCAAATCTTTTCAAAAATAAATTAAGGAGGTTTCCATTCAAATTTGTATATAATAAATTTTATTTTTCAAATTTTATACCTATTTCACCTATCTTGTTTAGTTACTGAACTAAATATTAGATTTTATTAGAAAAATTATTGATATAACATAATCAATCAATAATAATTTTAATTTACTAATTCAAATAATTTACATCTAAGTATATACATGATTTTGTTATGACGTTATCATCGTAACGACATTTTCATAAGTATATTATTGATATATTAAGATATGATTATCAAAATTGAACAATTATGAGCTAATTAAGCTACAATTAAAGTTTTATTTACTAATTCAAAAAATCTGCATCAATATCCACAATTTCCATATTTTTTCTCGAAATATCCATCGACATCAACATGTCCATCGACATATCCGTAGACTTTAATTTACTAATTCAAATATCTTATGTTCTAGTTTACAATATATTTTAACTACTTTAATTTTGGTTTCGATATTTTTAAAAGATTTATTATTGTCTCTATCTTATTATTAAAATTCATCCATCAGCTTTGTGTGATTAGTGAGAAACATTAAAATTCTAATATGATCACATTGTAGATATATGCATCTGAAACTTACATCAAGAGAAGAAATAAATATAAGTTATAGTCTGAGCAATGTACATGTTAGGTGTTTAATGTGACAAATTATTTATGGTATGTTAAAATCATCCCCTCAATGATATATTTTTTTTAACCCGAGGTTAAATTGAATTTATTTCGATCTAAATTCGTAACAAGTAAGTCCAGAAAAATTAAATTTGTCAATCTAAGCTTAGTTCAACTAGTTGAACCATCTATGTTCGACTAAAAAGTTAAGTTTGAATCCTCGAACCACATATTGTTGTTGTATTAAAAGACAAATAAATAAATAATGAAAAGTTAAAATTTAGAGATTTTATATTGAATAGAAGATATATTTTTTTTAAAATTCTTTAAACCCAACAATTGTATAGAATTTTAATCTTAATCAAATGTCTGTAAATCTAGCATAATTGATATATATTAAAAAAAAGGTATAATTGATATATAATATTTGAAATTTAATATAAAAATAGGTACATCCAAGAAGCTCAAAAGTAGAATACACATTAATTCAAGAGCATATCACTAGCTCGATCATAAATATTTACTCGAGATCAGTAATTGAGATCTCCACCCCCACATTTATTGTACTACAAAATAATTATTGTAAATTAGCATCCAAAATCTAAGTAAATCATAAATTAAAAATATATCATTATTGTGATTTGTCATTAGAAACAATCAATAATGATGATTTTTTTAATACTATATTTGAAATTATTTTTAATAAAATTAAGTATATATAAACATTTTTAGAAAAATAAACTATTTACTCAAATTTACCTAATAATTTGGGTTATATCTAATAAGTTTTTAAATTACCTAATTTGTTTCTAATAATTACTTACAATGTTACACTGATAAGAGTTCAATTTAGTCTTTATAATTTGAAGTTTGTTTCAATTTAATATTACGTTTTAAAAGTTTTAATTTAATTATTATGGCTTAAACTTTAGGAACATGACTAATTTGAATCCACTAAAAAATCAACCTATTTCTTTATTTTTTTTATTCCACCATGATCCAAAATGCAACCATAGTTAACAAAATAAAAACAATACAAACTCCATGTAAAAAAAATGTATTAATATAATAATAATAATAGATATTATAGAGACCAAAATTAAAATATAATATAAATCAGAGAAGCTAAATTGAAAATATTGACAAAAATTATAATTTAACAACAAAGGGACTCGACTGACAACATTATCATCTATTTTATATCACAGGAATCAAAATAATAAAATCATAATTCTTGTTGTTTCGATTTTATGTGCTTTTAAATAAATAAATAATTGCATGGAAAAGAAATTTTGGGATGAAAATTTGTCTATAAATATAAGTGTTGTTTTTTTTTTAATTGATATTATTTATACATTAGGATGGGAGATGTCTCTAAAATTAGAATCCCACAAAAAAAAAGTTTAAAAATACTAAAAAGAAATATAAAAAAATTTGGAACGATTCCAAGGCAATGATTATGCATTATGCCCCACATTTTCCCGATCGTTTTCTCGGGATCCAAACAAAGTGGGCCCCAAGCGGGCCCGCGAAAAATGAACGCGATCCAGCCCCGAAATCGAACCCCATAAATCCATGCAACGATCGCTTCCTCTTTCTCCAATCTCTCGTTAGGGTTTCTTCTTCCGGAAAATTTTCTCAGTTTTCTCTCCCAATATTTGAAATCTTGAAATCTTGAAATCTCCCACCATGGTTCTCAAGCCCACCAGAGCTCAGAAGAAGTCCCAGTACGACCAGAAACTCTGCCGACTCCTCGGCGAGTACTCTCAGGTCCTCATCGTCGGCGCCGATAATGTCGGCTCCAACCAGCTCCAGAACATCCGCCAGGGCCTCCGCGGCGATTCCATCGTCCTCATGGGCAAGAACACCATGATGAAGCGCTCCATCAGAATACACTCTGAGAAGACCGGCAACACCGCCGTCATGAGCCTCGTTCCCCATCTTGTGGTACGGATTCCCCCCTTTTCCCCCATCTTCTAACTCGATTTTCGCTTCATTACGCTTGCTTGTTGTTGATCCATCAAGATTTTTTCGATCTGTTTAGGGAAACGTGGGTTTGATCTTCACGAAAGGCGATCTCAAGGAAGTGAAGGAAGAGGTCGCCAAGTACAAGGTATGTCCGTTGTTGTTTGGTCTCTTTTGGTTCAATTTTGTTATTGCCTTGTACTTTTATTGGGGCTTGTGCTATGATTTCCATGTCGGGTTTCGATCGTACATTGCCTAGGGCTAAATTGGTAATTTCATTGTTGTCATGATGATATGAGTTATCAATGTAATTCATTGCAGGGTAGTTCATGATCGCATATTTATGGTTGTTTGTTGAAAAGAAGAATGATAGAAAGAAATTGCTCATTGAAAAGTAAACATATTTGCACGAATGGTAATCTAAAAGATTAGAATTAAATTGTGTATCATATTCTGTAATCAAATGAATGGCTATCCCTT